ACACCGGAATATGAAAATATTGAATGCGAGAAATTGAACAAAGCGATTGCAAATCGAAATTCGAAAAACTCAGAAGCCAAGAAATCAGGGTCTGTTGAAGGTATTGACCACAATCCTTTGTACTTAGTATCTGAAATACATGATCCTAAAAAGAGATCATGTCCAAGCCAGTCAGAAACGAGGGAATCGGAGGCTCTTAAGGATAGTGGCCCTAATCCTTTGTACCATATCTTAGAAGGACCTGATACTAATAATGGAATGCCAGAGGACAAACCAAATTCAGAAACGAAGGAATCAGAGGCTGTTAAAGATAGTGGCCCTAACCCTTTGTACCATGTCTTAGAAGGACCTGATGCTAATAATGGAATGCCTGAAGAGCAACCAACTTCAAAATCGAGGGAATCGGAGGCTGTTAATGATAGTGGCCCTAATCCTTTGTACCATGTCTTAGAAAGACCTGATACTAATAATGGAATGCCTGAAGACCAACCAACTTCAGAATCGAGGGAATCAGAGTCAGTTAAAGATAGTGGCCCTAACCCTCTGTACCATGTGTTAAAAGGACCTGACCCTAATAATGTAGGCCTGGCAGGAGATCCAACCTACGAGGATGTCGATTGAACTTTTGTACATAAAAGCCTTATTTAACATTAGTTCTCTTTTATCCAAACCTTGGTATGCATGTTGCATTGTTACTGTACTAATCAAAGTTTTGTCAAAGTGATACGGGAATTTTTAAAAATATGCCTTAGAACTAACTAAACCCAGATGTTCCATAAGAAAAGTTATAAGTTAGAAACCTGTTAGATATTGTGCTGCTATCAAAGTTATTCAAGGCCTAATTCGCCGTGCTAATTCACAATTGATTTCTAAGAGAACTAAAGCCTTTATAAAAAGGTGATACAGGACTAACAGTAATCTGACTTAGAACAACTTTAACCCAGTAGGCGTTCCAAAAGGAAACATTCTGGTTCCACCAGGAAAGTTATGCAAAGCCTAAAAGAACGTTCTGGTTATGAAAATGTTACTTTTACTTTCTCTGATCTATATATTGACATTTTGATGCTAAAATCATAGTTAATGGAGTAGAATGGTTTGAAACGCCATAGAACAAAGCTATTGTTTTGCCATCACTTGCTACTGACCGTGCACAAGGAACCAAAGCAAGTATGGCTGAAAATGCTCATTTCCTTATTATTTTCATGTATGAACACTTTGAAAGTGAAGACTTTCATTCCATGACCAAAACCCATGCGAATGAATACTTCCGCGCAGATACAGTTAAGTTACTAGATGATAAATAAGAAAGCATTGAAACTGAGGGCAATTTCATTTTCAATAAACAATTAATATTAATCATATAGGATTAATTAACAAATGATACATATTTTAGCGATTATTTATTTTAACGATTTTTAAGGGTAAAAAAATTCTATATTTCCGAATACTGTGAACAAATGGAGCAACTTTTCCTTCACTGTGCACGGTCAACGTCATATATAACAATGGATAAAGACGAACAAAAACATAGAGTAATAGGTTTCCCAACCATTCCGCTCCATTAACTATGCTAAAATATAAAAGGATAGCATATTTATATACAGCTGATTGTGACAGAAAATGCTAGCCCATCAAAAGCAAGAAAATTTGCAATACTGAGGTGTCACTTTTTCTCTGTGAAATTATGGATTTCTAGGTCACCAAATAAAAAAAATCACTTTGCTAATAAGAGGTTGATAACAGTAACACAATAACTAAGGAGTTTTAGAGTTAAGTCATTAAACCCGTGAAATAGATATT